GGATCAGAGACCTAAATGTAGAACCTCAAACCATAAGAACCTTAGAAAATGAAGGACATAACCTCATGGAAACTGGAACCGGCATCCAATTCCTGAACAAAACCCGAAACCCACAGGCCATAACAGATAAGATAGACAAGTGGGATCTCATTAAACTAACAACCTTCTGCAAAGCCAAAGAAACCATCAAGAGAGCAGGGAGACAGCCCACAGACTGGGAAAAAGTATTTGCCAACTCCAGGTCTGACAAAGGCTTAACATCTTGGATCTACAAGGAACACAAATGTGATGAAAAGAAAAAAACAAACAACCTCATTATAAAATGGGCAAAAGATATGAACAGACACTTCTCAAAGGAAGACATCTGAGCAGACAACAGACACATGAAGAAATGTTCAGCCTCACTAATCATCAGGGAGATGCAAATCAAAACCACACTGAGATATCACCTAACTCCAAGCAGAATGGCAATTATCAATAACTCAAAAAATAACAGTTGCTGGAGAGGGTGTGGCGAATAGGGAACTCTTCTACAGTGTTGGTGGGAGTGTAAACTAGTGCAACCTCTGTGGAAAGCAGCGTGGCAATTCCTAAAAGCTCCGACCTCCCATATGATCCTGCAATCCCCGTACTGGGAATATACCCTGAAGAATTCAAACCACTCTATAAAAAAGATACCTGCACAAGTATGTTTATGGCAGCATTGTTCACAATAGCAAGAACCTGGAAGCAACCATGCTGTCCATCAAAAGAGGACTGGATTTAAAAATTGTGGTACGTATACACGATGAATACTATGCAGCCATAAAAAAGAACAAAATCATAAATTTCGCAGCAACCTGGATGGAACTAGAGTCTATAATACTGAGTGACCTCTCACAGAAACAAAGATGAGTTTCACATGTTCTCACTCATATCACTATTTGATCATTCAACGTATTACCATATGAAAATGACTGACAGTGGTGGGAAACTGGGGGTGGTGGGGAGGGAAGGGAGCTGGGATTAATGGTAGTAAATATCTCTCTGGGGATGGGGAGACACCTCTTATCAACAAGGGTGCCTTAACGAAGCATATTTGTATACCTAACCCTCAACTGTACCCCACAATATCATCATAAAAAATATTGATTATATGAAAAAAAAGAATAAAGAACTTCATGAATGTTTACTTTCTTAAAATTATTTACTTTTATCAGAATTTCCTTTGTAATCACATCTGAAATACAGACTATATTTAAACATGCTTTTCACATTAACTAAGTTACATAATTTCTCTTTTTTTTTTTTTTTTGAGTTGGAGTCTCACTCAGTCGCCCAGACTGGAGTGCAGTGGCCGCTCCCGGCCACCGGAGCCTCGTCCTGCTGGGCTCCGGTGATCCTTCCGCCTCAGCCTTCCAAGTAGCCAGAATTACAGGCATGCACTACCTACCACACCTGGCTGATTTTTTAATTTATTGTAGAGATGCGGTCTCGCTGCCGAGGCGGGTCTTGAACCCACAGGCTCAGGCAATCCATTCACCTCAGCCTCCCAAAGGCGCGGGATTACAGGCTGAGCCACCGAGCCCAGCCATAATTTCTCTTTTTAAGGATGCTTTTATAACTAAAAGTAGTTCCACTTTAAAAAAGCACTTACATTCATCAATTTCTCCTAATAAAGTTACAGCAGGCTTATGTGCTCTTGTTGTTATATTCAATGGCATATTAAATGGGTCTGCATAGTTTGAGTTCTTCATTTTGTTAATTTTTCCGGGACACCAAGTAACTCTTCGTTTTATTTTAGCCTGAAGAAGAGATAAAAATTATATCATACACATTTGGGTTCAAATATAATAAACTAAGAGAGGTAGTTTCTATTTTTGAAACTTAGTAGAATTCTTATTAAGCCTTGTTTAAGATTTTACTAGTCTAAGGCCATCCTGAGATAAGAAAACATACTCAACTTTTCAAATCAGTGTTTAACCTCATAATAAATTTGATAAAATCACTATCTAAATTTTGTTTCTATTTGAAAGGCTACTTATAAGCTTCCCTGGAACTTATTTGAAAGGAATTTGTTGACTGACAACACTTCAAATGATTTGATATTATATAGAAGGGACAGTTGCTGCTGCCATCGCCAATTGCTATCCCTTTGGGTACCCAGCTCTAACCGGGAAGCAACAGACTGAAGGTCCTTCAGCAAATAAATCTTTCACAGGGGACTTTACAAAGTCGATTATCTTCCAATTTGCTTGGTAAAGCAAATGCCTCCACTGGTGTTCTTGATCTCCTTCCTTTCTTTCTCTCTTGAGTCCTTGATCCTTCAGTTGTCTGTCCATCTGTTATCTCCACTGGCTCCCTCCTCTCAGCATCATGAATACTAGAGTGTTTGCTTTTGCTTTTAAAAATAATCAAATTATTGACTCCTTACTTCTCTTTAGCTGCCATTTTCTTTTTTTCCTATTCTGTCCTCTCCTCAGCACTGATCACTTCTTCTTCAGCCCTTCACGGATCCTTCTGTCTCATGGTTCTTATCCTACCCCTCATTCTGCTTTGCTGATTTCTCTTACTCTTTCTGCCTTTGCTCTTGTTGCTTTACTAGGTATAGGTATCATCTCATCTTATTTGTTCCTCTCAACAACCCTATGAGCTAGGTTTTATTACTACATCCTTTTAATAGATGAACTGAATGACCAGCAAGTTTGGAGAAATTGTATGATGTTGTACAGTCAGTTGGGGGCTGAGCCCACATCTATAACTTCAGAGCCTATCCATTCAACCAACCCACCATATTGCCTCTCAAGATTAACTACTGTCCCCAGAATATGCAGCAATGCTCTCATGCCTTTTCACATGCTGCCCTTCTGCTTGAGATGGCCAGTCCTTTCCATAGCCTGCTCTGCAAAAGCCCAGTCACATATAAATCCTTGACTCCAATAACCTTCAGCTCAATTCTATTTGTTACCAAAGTTATACCTGGACTTTGTCATTATCTGAAAGTCATAAACCTAGAACTCCTGCTTTCACTGTGGTTGCTATACTCATTTATATGCTATACTCATTTATTCAGTTAAATCCCATTACAACTATTTAGCTCACCAGGGACTTCTATTCCCTCATTGCTTGACTTTCTTGCTGCCAGTTCCATCTTTGTTTTCATTTCATCATCTTAGATTTCATATCATACTGTAATCACATTTGACATTTGAGGTCAATATCCTCATTATTTGACCCATTCTCTGTCCCTCAAACCTACCCCACACAACACACACTCAAATGAATGACACTGTGTTTTGAGGCTTTATCAGCCTCCTGAGAACTGCCAGAGTCACACAATCAGAAGACTGGCTGTCAGCATCAATTGGGTCCTTAATGATGCATGGCAGGGTGGCTTCTTTCCCCCTTGTCAGCTTACTTTTCCATTACCTATAAAAGCTAGACTATTTCAAACCCTTAGTGTCTTTGTAAACTTTTGACTCTACCATCACCTGCCACCTCAGCAAAAAAAAAATTACAACTATTTCACAAAGAAAATATAAGCCTGAACTTACAAAAGCACTACTTGCACTGAGGCCTATTCTTTCCTCTGTGTTTGTTATAATTTAGGAGATATTTCTCCTCCTACCTAAGGCTGGTTCCCTATACTATATTCAAGATCTCATTCTTCTAGGCCATCTCAACACAATGCAAGGTGGCTTTCACCCCTACCATTTAACTTAAGTTACTTTTGCGAATGAATTTGTTTCAAAATGCAAAGATTTTTCATTCATCTTTATGTTATTTAGCTTCTCAGCAGAATGTGACTCTGCTGATGACCACCTCCCTGAAACATTCCTCCCCTTATTCATCTGGTTTTAATTTTAACTCTAGATTTGGGCTTCTTTATGGATTCTTCTTTGTCTGTTTACCTGAAAAGTTGTTATTTCTTGGGGTTCTCAGCCTTCTGTTATTTTCATTCTCAATATGCTGCCTAAACATGTAGTAGTTAGTGCCCAAATTAATATCTATACCTCAGACCTTCTACCTCATTTTCACATATTTGCATTTGCAACTGCCTGACACCTCCAAATGAAGACGTCCCCAATAAAACACCAGTCTCCACTGCTCTTCATTCAGTGTTCCTTAACTTAACCAATACTGCTACCAGCTACCCAGAAAACCAAGAAATGCTTGCAAGTCATTCTGGATACCTCCTTTCCCCCTCCCCTGTCCCCTTCATCCCAATCACAAAGCCCTGTTGAGTCTGCCTTCCAAACAGCACTCCAATTTATCCAATTTGCTCCATCTCCAGAGCTACAATCCTTGTAGGCCCAAGCAATTAGATGTGCACAGCAGCCACACTTTCCTAAACTGCAATTCTGAGGTACATTCAAATCTCTCAATGGGGTTCAAAATGCCCCTGCCACCATAACATCGTAAGTCCAAAGAATGCATTGTGTTTCTTCACAACTCTAAGTTTTTGTAAGTGTAGGTCTCTTCCTGAAACATCCTTCTCTAGGACATCCATTGGGCTATTTCTTATTAATCCCTCAATAGTTATTGAGTATCTTCTGTATACTTAGTATGGTAACTTGTATATAATGCCTATTCATAATAATATTAATAGAATACATTTGTTGAGAATTTGCTGTGTGAATAGTGTTCACGCTTGTGTTATGCACATTCTATGTACTATCTCATTTAATTTTGTGTATTATCTAATTTAGCCCTATGAAGCGAGTATCAAGCTATCCCACAGATAAGGAAATAGCAGCAAAATGAATTCAATAAATTGTTCAAGGTCAAGAGTTAGAAACCGACAAAACCTGGATTCATATCCAGGCAGTCCAGCTCCAAAGGTCATCTTTTAATCATGACACCCTCACACCCCAAAAATGTCTATTGGATAAATAATCCTCTGCTCTATTAAAAACAAATAAACCCCCAAAACTAAAGCTAAGATTCTGATCACTGTAAAAACTTATATTCGATATCAATTTTTCTGAGATTATTTAAGTAGAAAATACTTCCACATATCTTAGAAACCTGTGGTTCCCAAATCACCCAATCAGTTTCATTAGAATTCATTAAGAAGTATATTGCAATAGGTTCTTTAACTATATTCCAGACTTCTTGAATTAGAGTCTCTATATGCTGGGATTGAACTGGAAATGAACCTCTTAGGTACAGGTGATGTGTGGGCAAACACACACACTGTTCTGGGTTTCTTGAATATACTGTATAAAAGATAACATGCATAACTATATAATAAACATATAGAAACACCAATCCTATTCTCTATAAACCAAATTTAAGCTGTCATCTTTTTTTTTAAATACTTTTATTTTTCTGAGCTGGGTTTCACTCCAGGCTGGAGTGCAGTGGCATGATCATGGCTCACTACAGCCTCAACCTCCTCAGTTCAGGTAATCCTTCTGCCTCAGCCTCCCAAGTAGCTAATTTTTTTGATTTTTTTGTAGAGACGAGGTCTCACTATGTACCCTAGACTGGTCGCAAACTTCCAGATTCAAGCAATCCTCTTGCCTCAGCCTCCTAAGTGCTAAGATTACTTGTGTGAGCCACTGCTTCTGGTTTAAGCTGCTCTCTTTTAAATGTTACCTTTAACTCCTGTTGTGATGTAAGGGAAGAAGAAGTCACCAGCATCCGTGTCAAATTTTCAATTTTCTCATTCTGTACTTTTTGAAGCAAATCTTTCTCTTCCAAAAGTTGAGCCAATTGGTCTTTTTCCATTGCCTGAGCTCGGGTTTCCAAAGAAACCTATACAAGACAATAATGGATTATGTTGATAACTATAGATAAATTTTAATACCTTGAAAGTAGCTTAAAAGAATAGAATATTCAATTTGTATATGAACTACAAAAGTTTTAGCTTTATGGAAACAAAATATACTCTAACTATAGAACACCAAAAATGCAGTTACCATAATTAATAATTTCTCAAACCTAAAGTAAAATAAACATTTCTTCTCAATGCTGTTAACATATTGTCTAAGAATATATAAATAATAGGCACAGAAGTCATAAAACAGAGACTTGAATATCAATAGTAAAGGTAGAGATGTTCTCATTTCATTTGATACTTAACCTAATTCATATGTATTTTTGAAAATTTAGAAAGAAATCTCTACTTGAGCAATTTGACCTTGAATTTTGCTCTTTGAAAACGAAAAATCTAAAATAATTTCAAGAAACCACATTTTACAGTTTATATTAAATTAAGTTTTTATGAGTCAATTTTTTTTCTTGGTTAAAAACTTTTAAAATTTAAGTTTAAAGCAACTCAGAGCCAGGCACAGTGACTCACACCTGTCATCCCAGTACTTTTGGAAACTGGGTTTGAGGCCAGGAGTTCAATATCAGCCTAGGCAACAAAGCAAGACTCCATATCTACAAAAATAAAGACCAGAAAAATTAGGAGTGGCCCATGCCTGTAGTCCCAGCTACTCAGGAGGTCAAGGCAGGAGGATTGCTTGAGCCAGGAGTTCAAGCTGCAGTGTGCTATGATTGTGCCACTGCACTCCAGCCTGGACAACAGAGTGAAACCCTGTCTCAAAAAAAAAAAAAAAAAAAAAAAGGCAACTCATATTCATGAATTAAGAATCTCTTAGCATTTAAGCAGATCTCTATTCTAAATCATTTCTCATTCTTCTTCTTTTTTTTTTTTTTGAGTTGGAGTCTCACTCTGTTGCCCAGACTGGAGTGCAGTGGCCACTCCCGGCCACCGCAACCTTGACCTGCTGGGCTCCGGCGATCCTTCCGCCTCAGCCTTCCAAGTAGCCAGAATTACAGGCATGCGCTACCATGCCCGGCTGATTTTTCATTTTTATTTTTATTTATCGTGGAGATGAGGTCTCGCCAAGTTGCCCAGGTGGGTCTCGAACCCGCGGGCTCAGGCAATCCACTCACCTCAGCCTCCCAAAGGTGCGGGATTACAGGCTGAGCCACCAAGCCCGGCTATTTCTCATTCTTTACTAAAATAAATGATTTATACATACCTCCTCTAATTGTTTTTTAAGATCCATTATTTCTTTTCTATATCTTTTTAGGAGAGCTTCATCACTTGAAACTTCATTAACATAAGGAGTATTCTTCATATATTTAGCAGTGCTGGCAAACTGGAAAAAATTCAAGTGTTAAGTACACAACATTTTAAAAAAATTCTAATTTAATTTATAATATTTAGTTTTCTTTAAAAAAAAATCAATACTCTTTCCAGTTGGCTTAATATTTCTGAACACAGAATACTCCATGTCCTTATAACAATGCTCTGTAACTTACCCTGGCTGATAATCCTTCCTCTACTTTGAAGTTTTGCTTCCCGCCAAAAGTATCTCTCTTTCTTTAAACTCTATCCTACTTATTAACTACTTACTTATTAACTGAAGGCAATCATGTTGGAAGACAGGTGTTATCTGCCTTGTCACATAATTTATAAATTCTGCTAAGCCAGGAACTCTATCTTTGGCCTCTGACAGTACCTTAATCCAGAGCTTAACAGCTATTTAAAGCAATGGTTCTGAGTATAAGTACCATAAGTAACTTTAAGTGGGTACATGAAGGTAACCATTAAACCACTAACTCCTTCATTGAGAAAGCTATTCTATTGACATTTCTCATTTTTCCTTTCCTGTTTAAAACAGGACTTAGCTTTAAAGCAAAGCAACAGCCAACTAGCAGGAATTATTTTGAGGTAAAAATCAAACTCACCTGGAGAGTAGTAAGGGTCTCATCAAAAGAAACTGGAGTAATTGTGCAGATAATTCGTGTTTTTGCATTTCCTCCCAATGAATTCTGGAGAATTCGTGTTAATTTGCTATCTCGATAATTTATGAAACCACTTAGCAAAAAATGAGTTTAGGAAGAAAAAGATTAAGAATTTTTATATAACGAAAGTAGTTGGCTTTTAATAAACACCACCTAAATAAACCACAATTTTAAAAATTAATTTTTTTACAGTTTATAAGAGGCAGATTAAGTTACTAACTAAAAAAAATTTAAAATAGAAAGTAAATTCAGTAGGTAATAGACATATGTACAGAAGCCATGCATGCTCAAAGAATCACAAAAGCTTTTTAATATATGAAAGAAATCAGTACTTATTTGAGTATCATTGAAATGTTACAATTTTCAATCTAATGGAAAACACAAACATTAATAGATAATTGTACAAGTGGGATAAACTTACCCAATCTGCCCATCACTAAGTTTCTTGATCACTTGTCCCAAAATAAATAAGCTTCGGTTTATATTACAGCCTTCCTTGAGTCGCACACCTAAATTTATGAAATAAATATGAAAAGTAAACTTGATCCCTTTTCAGATGAAGAACTTATTTATCAGTTATGAAAAAAATTAGAAATCAAAGGCTCTGATGCTAAAGTCTATAATTTGGATTCGACCTGAGTCCACTTTTAATATCACTGGTAGCAGGAGCTCTCTCCCTCTTCCTTCCACCTATTAAGTGAATCAGAAAGGTTATCACCTGAGAGACATAGTAAAAATAAAGATAAAGAGAAAAATGAAGGAAAAAAGCTTGTTTCCTAATTGAACTCTATTAACTCTTCAGTACATATCTATTTTTTTTAACTTCTAAATACAGTCAACCACGCACTTATAACCAAATTAGTCTCTAATTTATTTTTTGATAACATATGCTCACATGGTTAAAAAGAAAAAAAAGTACACTCTGAAAAAGCTCCCTTCCACTTTTACCCCCATTCAACCGTTCTTGCCCATCTACCATTAAGCCACTGTTATTAGTTTATTCTTTTAGAGATTAAAAAAAATAAGTCCATGTAATTCATTTCTCCTTCTTTCCTAATTTATACAAATAGGAACAGACTATATATACTATTTTACACTTTGCTTTTTTTTCACTTGGTAACATATCTTGGAAAAATTTCCATATCAGTAAACAGTGTTCTTTTTTCTTGTTTTTTAAAATCATAGGATTCTAAGCTGGGCTCAGTGGCTCAGCCTGGAATCCCACGCCTTGGGAGGCTAAGGTGAGTGGATTTTGCCTGAGCCCGCAGGTTCGAGACCCGCCTGGGCAACTTGGTGAGACCTCATCTCTACAATAAATCAAAAAAATTAGCCGGGTGTGGTAGCACGCGGCTGTAGTTCCAGCTACTTGGAAGGCTGAGGCGGAAGGATCGCCGGAGTCCAGCAGGTCGAGGCTGCGGTGGCCGGGAGCAGCCACTGCATTCCAGTCTGGGCAATAGAGTGAGACTCCAACTCAAAAAAAAAAAAAAAAAAAAAAAATAATAATAATAAAATCATAGGATTCCACTGTATGGATGTATCAGAATTGATTTACCTACCTACCCTGGGATACATGTAAATTTTCCATCCACTACTTACACGAAAAATGTTGCAGCAAGTAATTTGGAATAGATGATAATCCACAGGCGATACTTAATAAACCAGCTAAAACAAGCACTTATTTCTTGTTCATAGGTCTGAGGATGAACTGGTGGGTGGATGTAGGTCAGGCTCGGAGAGTGGCTCTATATCAGGCCACAATATGAGCTCCGGTCTGCTGCACAAACCTCTCATCCTCCTTGAGTTGGCAGCTCTTCTCATGGCAAGAGTCAGGTATGAACTCTTAAGGGACTATGAACATCATAGTCTTTACTCAGTTTTCTATTGGTTTCTTTTAAGCCTTTCTTTTAAGGCTTCTGGACTTTGTGCCATAGTTAGAGAAGGTCTTTCCGACCGTAAGTTGACTTCCAATAATCATCATTATTATTTACAGAATTATTTGAGTCATTTATAATGCATTCTTTGTATGTGGTATGACGTATGGATCCAACTTAGTTTATTTTTCAAGAAAAATCTAATTTTTACTCACAAATATGAAGACCATCTTTATTGTATTCTAAGTTTTCTATGTATTTAGAACTCTTACTGGAGTTTCTATTCTGTTCTACTGGTATGTGCTGATATTTCACATTGTTTTAATTACTATGGCATTATAATGTTTTACTATCCTGCAGGGCTAAATTCCACTTTCTGCTCTTTTCAGCATTTTCCTGACTAGTCTTGTCTATTTTTTTCATACAACTTTAAAAATCACTTTATTTAATTTAAGTAATACAAAAATGTATTCTTGATATTTTTATTAGGATTGTGTTAAATCTAGAAATAAACATAGGAAGGCCCGATATCTTTGTGATTTTGAATATTCCCATCTAAGTATACTTTTCCATTTTCCAAATACAAGTATTTGTTTGTATTCCTCAGGTGTGATTAAAAGATTTCTTTATATCAGTTTTGTGTAATCTTTGTTGAGTATCTTTCTAGCGATTACATCTTTTATTTGGGAAACCCCCTAATAATTGGAATTATCTTTTGGAAGGCGGGCCCCTTGTAGTACAAGCTTTCCACACTAGGTAAGTGTTCCAGGAAACCACTGGCATCAAAGTACAAGCCAGCGTTCTGAGAGGTTGTGTTTGGCTTCAGTGAATTTTTTTTTTAGACAATTCATGATGGATGATTTAGGAGCACACCTGCCCACATCATGCTGAGTGTTCACCAGTTTTTGACCAAAAACCGCACAATCCCACGCTCTACTCTCTCTATTCACTCAATCTTGCCCCGAGTGACTTTTTTTTTTTTTGTTTCCTTGGAGGAAAAAAGTCCTCAAAGGGAAACGCTTTGCAGATGTGGAAGAGATGAAACAAAAATAGTAGAAGCACTAAAAGGCATCAAAATTGACAAGTTCAAGAATTGTTTTAATTTTTAAAGTTTAAAATAAATAAATAAATAAATTCTGTTTTGGGGAGTTCCTTCTTGTACTATTTAAAAAAAACTGTTTTAAGCAGTGGAAAAAGCATCTCAATAGGTGTATTGTATCAAACACAGAGACTTTGAAGGTGACTGAAGTTTAAACATGAGAATATACAATTTTTTAATAAATAAATTCCGATTTTCCTTGGGTTACCCTTGTATATAAATTCTTTTTGTCTACTAAGTATTCATAATAGTTTTTGTTTATGAGTTATTAATATCAGTATATTAATTTCATACCCCACTACCTTTCTTAATTTTTTTTTTTAATTTTGAAAGTTTAGATGGTTTTCATGGTACTCTCATGGGCTTTCCAACTATACAATTCTATCAATCATATAGTTTAAATTTTTAAATTGATGCTGTAGTAGTCCAAAGTAAATAATTAGCCAGATACAGATGCTGTTTTTTACATTAAGACTTTTTTCTTTTAGAGTTCGAGTCTCACTCTGTTGCTCAGACTGGAGTGCAGTGGCACAATCATGGCTACCATAGCCTCAATCTCCTGGGCTCAAGCAATCTGTCTGCCTTAGCCTCCCAAGTAGCTGGGACTACAGGTGTGTGACACCACATCCAGCTAATTATTTATTTTTTATTGTTGAGATGAAGTCTAGCCATGTTGCTCAGGCTGATCTTGAACTCCCAGGCTCAGGAAATTCTCAACTCGGCCTCCCAAAGTGCTGGGATAACAAATATGAGCCACTGCACTTGGCTTATTAAAGACTTTTATCAGAAAATTATTACAATTACTACCTTATCAATTTCTAAAAATGGCATTTCTTATTCTGTAAAAGAACAGAAAGACATTAAGACTAACATATAAATGAATTTTCATTACCTTCAGCTCCTGTTTGAGCAGCTCTTTCACTGCCTGCAAGATCAACCAAATTCTGTAAGACAGATGAAAATAAAACTTTAGGATGAATAATTTGAAACAAGAAAATTCAAATGACCAAAATAGCATTTTTAATACATGGCATATCTGCATCTCTCATTTTCATCCTTGTCTTGCATCCTACCGTTTAGGCATTTTCCTTTCTCTCTGAGTTACACTGTTTACCTTTTCCTTCTTGCTTTATTATATATCCTCCATCATAATGCTGCCAGTGTAGGCTGTTTCTTACAAAGTTTTGACTTTACCATTGCAAATATGATTTTTTTTTTATTTTTTATTTTGGAGTTGGAGTCTCACTCCATTGCTCAGGCTGGAGTGCAGTGGCATGCTCATAGCCACCCCATCGTGGACCTGCTGGGCTCAGGTGATCCTTCCACCTCAGTCTTCCAAGTAGCCAGAACTACAGGTGCGTGTTAGCATGCCTGGCTAATTTTTTGATTTATTGTAGAGATGAGGTCTCACCAAGTTGCACAGTCTGTTCTCAAACCCATAGGCTCAGGCAATCCCCTCACCTCAGCCTATGAAAGTGCTAGCATTACAGGCTTGAGCCACTGTGCCTGGCTGCAAATATGATTCTTTACAACCTGACCCTCTAGTTTTACATCTATCTAACTCTTACTTCCAGCAGAACCACTCATTATTCTCAAATACTCCATGTACTACTATACCTCTAAGCAACAGCTTGTTGTTGTCTCCTTTGTTCAGTTAGTTCTAATGTTCTGGTCTGCCTTATTCTTTATCTTATTCTTCTTGCACTCATTCCACTGGGCTAGTCATTGGTGTCCCTGATTACACTGTAGTAGCTTTTTTTAATTTTAATTTTTTAATTTTAAAGACGTGGGGTACAATTCAGGGTTAGGTATACAAATGTTCATTATGCAGGTACCCTTGTTTATGAGGTGTGTCCCTCCCTCCCCTGGCAATTTCCCTCAACTGTCAATTCCACCTCTCTTCCCCTGATAATTCTTTGAAAGCATGGGCCTCTCTTTCATTTCACAAATATCATTGAAAAAAATTCCAGGTGCTGGTGAATCAGCAGTGAACCAACTGTCTCGGGAGGGAGGAACTGAGTAGGCTCACTGAGCTGAGTAGCAGGGAAAGGCCTGTTAGTAAACTCAGACCTGAATGTCAGAGAAGAGGGTGCCGATCATCAAGGGAAACTGCAATCTAGACAGAAAGTCTCAGAGCCAGCAGTCCTGGTCACAAAGTAGAAGGTGCTTGGTGAGAGCAAAAAAACAGAAAAGGCAGTGTGGCACAGTTGGTGAAATGAAGACAGGATAACATCAGGTAAAAGAAGTAGGTAGAGGGTCAGATTATTTAGAACTTTGTAAGCAAGATAAAGAACTCTGAATTTTCTAAATGCAATGAAAGCCATTGCAGGGCTTTAAGGGAGTAATACAACCTAATTCAGCTTCCTAATGGATCTATTATGGTTCCTGGATGGAGGATTGATTGGAGAAGGGCAAGAGTGGCAGCAGGCAGTCCTGCCAGGAAGCTGGTGCAGGCATCTTCCTGAGAGATGATTGCAGCTTGGGCTAGGGAGGGGGCAGGAGAGACTATCTGTAAGTAGTGCAATGATGTCATCTTTTTTCGTTTAATCTCAGAGCCCAGCACTATGCTCGTAACATTATAAAGGTTCAAATCAATATTATGAATGCATTAAAAGAAAATCAGAGCTTTAAGTTATTTCTCTCTGTGGAGATTTTCAGGACTAGGCAAGTAATTATGTATTATTAGTTTATAGTCCTATCTCAGATACTTCTTTCGATAAAGTACCCACAGAGGTCTAATTTTTCTAGCACAGTATCCACTACAGATGACTCAGATACATAATAAAAGGGCAAAGTGGTGATGATGGCAGCATGAATATAAAGATGGAAACAGGCATTCGCATTCAAGACACTCAGAATGAGAGAAGCTCATATGGAGAAGAAGGAAGTTAGATTGGCTAAGAGAGGCCAGATCTTGTCCAAGGAAGTGACATAACAAAAGCAGTGGCTACTTTATTAGAAATCTGTATAATGAACTGAAGAAAGGAAGACGAGGGTCATGCTGGCTGAGTTCCAGGAGATCGTAGGAGAGAGGAGAATCTAAATGGGAAAGACTAAATGAGTATAACACCCACAGAAATGTTCAAAGGAAGAATCAATAAGAATGGGACAACTGGACAAACGAAAAGGCAGGAGATGATAAGTCAAAATTGACAGGTTTCTAGTCAGGCAACCAGGATAATGCTGCTTTTACTAGAAGAAAGAATAGGCCCGGCTCAGTGGCTCAGCCTGTAATCTAGCACTTTGGGAGGCTGAGGCGAGTGGATTGTGTGAGCCCACGGGTTTGAGACCAGCCCAGGAAACTTGGTGAGACCTCATATCTATAATAAATTTAAAAAAAAAAATTAGCTGGGTGTGGTAGCGTGCTCCTGTAGCTCCAGCTACTTGGAAGGCTGAGGCGGAATGATCGCAGGAGCCCAGCAGGTCGATGCTGGGGTGGCCGTGAGCATGCCACTGTACCTCAGCCTGGGCGATGGAGACTCCAACTCAAAGAAAAAAAAAAAGAAAGAATATTCACTATGGTAGGAAAAAGTTTATTTGGTTTTAGTATACGGAAGTTTGAGCTATGAACAGGACACGATTATAACAATCTTTAGAAAGACATGAATTAGAATTAAGAGATTGTAGATAAAGAACTTAGCAGTCATCAACATGGAAATGATGATAGAAAGTATGAGAGCAAGAACTTCAAGTAAGAAAGGTCACAGAACACTCTCAAGTTTTTATTAGGAAGGTAGGAGAAAAGAAACCATAGCAGAAAGCAGAAATGGAATACAGCTAAGAGAACCTTGATATTACCACACCAATGCCAGGAGATAATCAGAAGGTATCTTCTTCTTTTGGGAAAGACTTTTTTCCAAGATTCTTAAAGTAAGTAGGTAGGCTGGAATGTTGGACCAGATGGACCACAAATGACAGAGTATCAAGGAATATGAAGAAAATAGGCAAATAAGTCACTGAATGTACCAAGCACATTAAAGCTAAATTATTAAAAGTTAAAAATTATAGTGAAATATCATAGTTTAGGACTGGAAAACAGGAGAGTTTTCTGATGTTAAATTACAACAAGCTATACACTTTTATAGCAAAATAATTACTTAATATTAAATTCTAACTTCATCTTAGTTAAGAATCAGATTTTATAAAATCTGAAAATGAATATAGACTCCTTTTTTTTTCTTTGAAGTTTTCAAATCAAATAGGCTAAAAAATTTAGGCCCTGAAGATGGAGAATAAAGCAATAATGGTAAAGGATAGAAAAGGAGCAAGAAAGAGACAGCAATGGTATAGTGCAGTAAGGAAATGGGAGGTTTATTTATGTGGAAAATAGGAATGTTTGCATAATGTTTTATATTCACTCTTTAAACAAACATGTATTAGATATAAACTAGGTCCAATGCATTGGGGCTACAAAAATGAATGCACTATCATTATTTAAGAGAAACACAGTCTAAAAAATTATGTTTATAATACAAAATACATTTGCTTATCACACTTAAGAAAGACCTCAAATAATATGGTTTTTTTAATTATCCCAACTAGATTTCTGTTGATTATATCTAAACTATATTAGCTGAGATTTAAAAGAGGATTGCAGTTCTAAGATGACTTAGACTCTTAAATGAGTATAGAAAAAAATCCTTCTTGATTAGTAGTTTAAAAATAACCCCTCAACTCCTATACTCCTAACATCTACATTTTAGGAGATTGCAGCCATAACACACAGGAGGAAAGATCCTCTGGGTTCTTCCTTCAAGATTTCAGCTAGTAATTTGACACTACTGACAAGACTAAACTGCCAATTTATAGTTTCTCCATCCCATTTAATTTAGTTGTCAGTTCCTAGTAAACCACACATCCAGCAGCTGAATTAAATTTTGTTTTGGCCCATGTAGTTTACTGTTATGGTTCATCAATACTCACCAAATGGGATACCTTGACAGATCCCTCATAATTGGAAGGTTCACCCTTCTCCCTGCTTTCCAAAATCTAGATAGAAAAGGCAACTTGTAGAAAAATTAATGCATTCTTACTTGAAAAGACCTTATATAGAGAGAGATAGAAAGTTACCTACCATCCTAAAAATGGTATGAGAACGACTGCTTCTTTGATTCATTTTTGTTTTCCCATAATGTCTATTTTCTGTAAAAATGAGTTATATTTCAGCTGCATATATATTAAAATACAAAGAAAAACAGTATCTTTTATTCTAACATAATAAAAAGAGTGATTTTAAGCCAAAACCTACTTGATTGAAAAGATAGTTTTTATAAGTATTTTAAAAAAATACAGCATAAAGTCTTACTTTCCCCCTTTGTGATCCATTTCAAAGCCATTTCTGAGGTATAAACCACTTCTTCTGTGAGATCAGCAACATACACATTCCTCTGAAACAAATTTAATTGTGGAAAGATTAGAGAAAGAGAAGTCACTTAAAAGTTTGCTTTACAAAAAGAGGATGTAAACTTTTACAGAATTCATTTGTGGAAGAAGTGAAAAATAGAACCACAACTTTGTAGAAATATAATAAGCAACTCCATGAATACTCACAATTTATTTTCTACAAAGCACACGAAATTCTGATCTGATACTTACATCCTGCTATTTTTGGACACTTAAACCAAAATATTAGAGCTGTCAGGATTTTCAAACTATATATGTTGTTTAAAAAATGAATACCTATAAACACTTAAAAAAAAAGAAAAAGGAAACCAAAGAAACAGGAGACATTTTTAAAAATAGAGAAATTGAAGGTAAATATTTAAGAACAATCATCTCAATAAGTCGAATTTAAAGCCGTCTTAATTCTGTTACTCACATTGACATCTTCTCGAATTATTAAAGGTTTCATTTTTTGAGTGCCACAGAGTAAATCCGTAAGGGTTTCATTATATATCTCCATGTAAGACACTCGCAAGAGAAATTCCCTATCAGGAAACTAGAAGAGGAAAAAAAAGTAAAGATATCAGAAAGCAGCCAATTATGAAAACCTAATAGTAAATGCTTATGTGCTTACATTAAAGAAGTAAAGAAGGAAGCTACATTTATAAAACAAACTAACAAAACTTGTGGATCTATGTTGACAATAATAAACACAAAAATATAAACACAATGTTTCAGAAATAATGAAAGGTAAAGTATCATAAAATTAGGAGAGCACCCAGTCCAACATTTTAGGCTCAAAATAAAATTCAATCAACAGATGTAATTCTTTTTTTTTTTTTGAGTTGGAGTCTCACTCTGTCACCCAGACTGGAGTACAGTGGCCGCTCCTGGCCACTGCAGCCTCGACCTACTGGGATCCGGCAATCCTTCCGTCTCAGCCTTCCAAGTAGCCGGAATTACAGGCATGCGCTACCACGCCCGGCTGTTTTTTTTGATTTATAATAGAGATGAGGTCTCACTGACCAGGCGTGTCTCGAACCCGTGGGCTCAGGCAATCCACTCACCTCAGCCTCCCAAAGGCGCGGGATTACAGGCTGAGCCACCAGCCTGGCTAACAGATGTAATTTTAATAAAAATGATAATTTAAAACCAAGTCTTAACTAACTAGGTTGCCTATTCTGGCCTTCTGCTTTCCTTTTCTTTTACTTACATCTACTTATCACTGTTACTTTATAATAACTGGTAGTTAAACAAAGGCAACGTAGAGCTAACCAATCTGATAAGATTTTCCTATTCCTTGATGCCTATTTTGTTAGGAGTATTTTGTTGGGAGTATTATCATTGCAGGATTCAAGGAAAAGAATAAAATAATTCTAAGCTTTATAAAGTAAGTTTGTGGGGATTAAAGTTATGTTATGCCTTTCTTTTTTCCTTTTGGATAATCAAGGAGAACTTTCTTTTTTCCTTTTGGATAATCAAGGAGAACTGTACGTCTACTTATCATTACAAGGGAGAAACACTAAGATTACTATTTGTACCTATATGTACTAGAAATTCAGCTAAGTTACTTACCTTCTTAATTTTCTGGAAAATGTCATGAATTGCCCTGGGTATAACTCCCAAATAATCTTCTGAACCCATCATAGTATGTGTTTTCCCTGAAGCAGTTTGCCCATAGGCAAATATAGTGCCTGCAAAAACAAAACACATATATGCTAAGGTTTAAAAAATCTACAGTGGGTAAAACTATCAATACTTGTTGAACCTAGGACTAAAATGTTTCTGTAGCACTGAGAGAATACAAACCATTGTAGCCTTGTATGGCAGAATCGATGATTGGTGCTGCTATTTCTTCATACACATTTTTAGTAGTTTCATTACTATGAAAGACTCGATCTAAAAACCAACAATAACACAGAAGTTAAACAAATCAACTAAATTTTCATTCTGAATTAGTAGTTATCCGCCAAAATTGTCAGAATCTAGGAAGATAAAATATTTAAGACACAGCATTTCTTCAACTTTCTGGTCCTCTAAAAATACTTTTCCCTAAGGTAAAATATCTTGGTCCTCACACACACAAAAATATGTAAGTCAACTATTCTGTGTGCTTTCAAGAGGCAGTAGGACACAGTGGTTGCACAAGAGGGTCAGGCATCTGACAGTACTGATGTAAATGACATAACTGTTTTAAATGCCAATTTATTCCCTTACCTATTATATATAATGGATAAATAATTTTTTGTTTCCAATGAAGCAGTTTACAGAAGGCTTAGTCTGACTTTTAGTGACAAATCTAAATTTTTGGATAAATTTTTTGTATTGTTTTAAAATTTATTTATTTGTTATAAAGATGTGGGGTACAATTCAGGGTTAGGTATATAAACATTGATCATGCAGATACCCTTGTTGATGAGGTATGCCCTTCCCTCCCCTGACAGTTTTCCACTACTGCCAGTCACTTTCTTATAGCATTATAATTGTTCAAGGTCACCTTATGAGTGAGAACATATGGAACACAGTTCTTTGTTTCTATGATAAATCACTGAGTATGATCAACTCCAAATCCATCCAAGTTGTTGCTAAGTCCACATATTTGTCCTTTTTAAAGGCTGCATAATATTCCATTGTGTATATGTACCACATAATTTTTTGTGTTCTTAATGGCAAAAGGATAACAAGCTAATTCTTGATGCTATTATAAGCTTACCAAAATTGAAAGATCTACTCCCATCAACTTGATAAATAGCATTATTGTCAGTTTTCCAGTAAATTTGAGCAGTTTCTCCAAGTGATTCCTCTCTAAAAGGAAAAAAACAAACCACTGCATTTTAGTATAACCAGTCACAAAAGTAACGCTATAAGAAGGATAATTTAAAAGATTTTATCTTCTGAAGAACATATTTATTTATTTAGAGATGGAGTCTCATTTTGTTTCCCAATGCAGTAGCACCTTCATGGTTCACCTCAGCCTCAACCTCCTGGGCTCAAGTGATCCTCCCGCCCCAGTCTCCCAAGTAGCTCAGGTGTGTGCCATGATGCCTGACAAATTTTTAAAATTTTCGTAGAGATGGTGTCTCACTATGTTGCCCAGGCTGGTTTCAAACTCCTGACCACAAGTGATCCTCTTGCCTCAACAGCCCAAAATATATATATATATTTTTTGCGTTGAAGTCTCACTCCGTCCCCCAGACTGGAATGCAGTGGCAAGCTCCTGGCCACCACCGTAACCTCGACCTGCTGGGCTCCGGCGATCCTTCCTCTCAGCCAGCCCAAAATATTTCAAAAGATAGTAACAACATATCATTTGTAAGAAAATGATGGAAAGTCCATCTTTGAAAATTCAGCTCTCTTAAATGGGGTTTCAGGGACCTCCTGCCCTCTCATGGAAATTTAATGAAACCCCTCACTCTCACCCTCTCTCCTAGTATTGACAATTGAAGAGATACATTAAAAATGTAATTCTATGTCTCTCTCACTTAAAACCCTCAAAGATCTAAGGAAACTTTCAAAATCCTTAGCATGATACACGAGTTCTCTTCAACTTGATCTTCCTTTAAATCCCTACGTGCAACCCTAACCTCCACCTGAAGGTGTTATCAAAATGACAGATTTAACCTCTCTGTGCCTGGAATACCTTGACCTTCCTTTCCTTTGAATAACTTACCTATTCTTTTATCCATAAAAAGGACTTTACTAACCCCAGCCCACCCTGCCCAAACTGTCATCTCTCTGATGGGCTAAAGACTTCTCCAGCAAACATTCGCTACCTGCCCATCATAACACTTGTCATGATGTATCCTAATGGCTTTCTCAACACAAAAAGTGTTAGCATTTTGGGTCGAAGGCCAGGGGCTAGTGAAGCAAACTGACTTCATGTAGTCCCCTTCCCGCTTTTTCTCTATAACATATATATATAGAAAAAAATACATATATATTTTCCCTTACATATCACCACTTAACGTTCTATATTTTTTACTTTATTTTCTGTCTCGCCCACCAGAATGGGAAATCCACAGGGCAATGACAGTAGTGCTTGTTTAGCACAGTGTGCTGTACTAAATAAGTAAATAAATATTTGTAGAATGAATGAATGAAGTCTAGAATGGCTATTGACCACAATACGACAAGACAGACTAGACCGTGCCCTCAGGGAGTTCAGAGGCAAGCAGTTAAGTGTAAAATGACTGTGATGAGTGCTAGGAAGGCGCTCTCTCCCATACGACTTCTCTAGGGCGTGGAACGGGCTAAAGAGGAACAGATGTGGGAAAAGGCAGCGCAACGCAGCGGTGGAAGTCTTTAATGTCAGCGAGACTGAAATGGAGGTACGTGAATCTCCCAGCTGGAAAGTATTTTGTGAGGCTCCGATCCTTCCCTGCCACTTTACAGACACGAAGCCGTGGCCCGAAAAGGGTAAGCAGCCTAGTTCCCAGGCAGCGCAGCCGCAGCTCTAGGAGACGCCGCAGGATTCAGTTCAGGCCCACGCCGCGCAGCGGGGACCCGGCTACGGCCTGGCGCACCTACCTGTTGTTGAGCGGCCGGACTCGCACGCAGACCGCCACGGCTCCTTCCTCCGCCATCCTGTCAAGATAGGACCCAAGAAAATGGCTAAAAACCCGTTTGTGGCTGGAACTTCTGGGCGTAAGCCCCCCCCCCGCCTTTAAGTTTGAAATTTCCTTAACGCCGAATCTGATTGGGCCGTTCCTAGTGACGTCACGGACCATTCCACCTGAGTCTCAGAGCGCGGGGGAGGCGAGAGGCGGACGGGCGCGTCCACCGAAAAAAGGTAGGAGAGATTCAGGTGGAGGGTCAGAGTAGGGGCTGCAGCTAGAAGCTCCGGGTGCGGGCTGACAGCGGCTGTCCTAGTAGTAGCGGAATAGTTAATCTGCTAATAGCCACCGAGCATGAGGATGCTTCACCCCATTCTTAAAGAGTCTGCAATCTGTAGACGAAACATGGAAGAGAAACATATTTTTTCGTTAATAAAACACAATTGCTGTCTTTAAAAAAAAAAACCTACATTGACAGTTAAAAAAAAAATCTCAAATAACAAGAGTTGAAACTCACTGCCCAGTCCAGAAACTTAAGAAGAGTGTTGTGTTCTTTAAAACTCGGAGTTTGGTTTTTTGTTTTTGTATGACCGGGTAACTCCTGTTTCCCTTGGCCATGGGTTCCTAAGATGCTAATTTAGGGAAAATAATTACTAACGACTAGAAAAACTCATTTAGTAATGTGCTACTACTTTTATTAACTGAAAGGAAAAACGATTCTAAATGCAGTAATTATTTTCCAAAAACAGTGTTTGGTTTTCCATTGTCTTCAATACAGTAGTCTGCTGTTACCTGAGATATTTCATTCCAAAACCCACAGGGAATGTTTGAAAACCTGGAAAAAAATGAACGTCATATACACTCTGCACGAATTTATTTTTCCTTCACAATTTCACAGATAAGACATGTGTGTTCTTACTGCAGATTTTAGCAACCTCCGATACGATTTTTTTCTTGCCTTATTGAGAATGTTCACCTTTTTCACTTAAAGGAAGCACTTAATGGCTTCTCTTTGGCATACTTGAATTGCCAGCATCACTTCACTTGCATTTTGGTGTCGTTGCTAAGTAAAATAAAGAAACTCTGTGATGCTACTATAGTTATCTGATCACCAGAGGGCTAGTGAGTAATGGGTGGGTAGCATGTACAGTGTCAATATGCTGGACAAAGTGATAATTCACATCCTGGGTGAGATTTCAATCATGTTACTCAGAATGGCCTGCAATTTAAAACTTAAGAATTGTTTATTTCTGGAATTTTCCAATTAATATTTTCAGACTGCGTTTTACTGCAGGCAACTGAAACTGCAGAGTGAAACAATGGAAAGCAAAACTTCAGGATAAGAGGGGACTACTCTACATACCATAGTAGATACTAATGTTACTGGGAGAAGTGGCTCCTGCGGTGTGGGTTATGGGTTTATGAGGGGGTTCTTGTGTTTCTGTTTGCAAAGAGTTTGTAAACAGATGCACAGAGTAGCAAAACAAGCAAGTAGCTTTATTAAGCAAAGAATAATACATTTTTAAGAAGGGAGAACAGGCAGAAACAGCCTACAGTAAGCTGCTACTTCTGCACCCAACTATTGTTGTTACAACTTTTATTTCTGGAGTATGAGGTGTGGATCTGGGGGTAGTCTTCTTCTAGAAATGGGTGGTCTTAGGCCTGGGTTACTGTTATTTTTTCCCTTACGTTGGGTGGGAGAGTTTTAGGCCTTATAGGGTCATACCAGTACTGCCATGGCATCAGGTGTATGATGGGGGTAGGAGGCTTTCCTAGGAATTTTATGCTAATAGTATTATAATAAATGTAAAAATAGGTTATGATTATCCTAGGTTAACCTTGGCTGTTGATGCACATGCTTCAGGTGTTCTCTATGCCAGTTCCTGCCTTGGTGGTCAGCTCCCGACTACAAGCAACCTGGATAGATGGAACACTGTACTGCAGGTGTATCTAATGAGTCTAACAGGTAGGTGTGAAGTTTTCTATAGCCAGGCTGCCTTGCTTTCATGCACAGTTTTGTACTGACTGTTGCAGACATCAATGGGCTTGGAACTTTCCTACAGCCTAGCTTTCCTACTCTAACCTGTCTATCACTAACATTTTCTTTAGGAGTGGTTTCAGTCCTTTTCTTGGTATAATATAAGAAGCATCAAAAATTATTCACTTTCCCTTACCAAATTTATGAGGGAAAAGCAGTCATTAATTGTTCATAATTTAGAGAACTTGAAACACTACTGATTTAATAAAACTCTTTGGAAGGTAATCTGGCAACATCCGTAAAGATTGAACACATGTGCTTTTTATGCCAGCAATTCTACTTTTAAGAATTTATACAAAGACATATTTGAAGAAGTGTACATATATACACATACATATAAAAGGCTATTAATTTCAGCACTATTTATAACAACAAATGACTGGAAATACATTAAATGCCATTAAATATGAGACTAGTTAGATAGATGGCATTATATTCATATACAATGAAACACTATGTTGCCAGTAAAAAGAATAGTATAGCTCTTTATGTGTATTTTAGAGAGCTATCCAAGATGCTTCACTAGCTAAAAGAAGCCCAAGGTGCAGAATTATGTGCTAAGAGTATGTCTAGATACACATACAATAATTTCAGGAAAAATGTACAGAATATGCCCAATTTCCTTAGGGAGTGATAACCGAGTTAGAGAATAGCTCTATCTTTCGTTACATTTTATTTTATAATTATTAATATTTTAACCATGCAAATATTAAGTAGCTTCTTTCAACTATTAACTAAGAAGCTTGTTAATAGATAAAACAGTAAATAAAAATGAGTCTACTCATTCAAGATTTGTTTTGGCTAACCAACTATGAGTTAGTATAAACAACTGTTTTTTGTTGTTGTTGCTAAACTGTGAAGACAGTTGGCTGTATCTAATAAGTGATTTCCAATACTTAAGGTATGTTTTAGCAATTGTTTTTGTTTATAATGGTAGGCAAATATTGTACATATTTAGCTGAAGGGAAGGAGCCTATGAAGAGGAAGAAGGGTGTATGATTAATGAAAGCCTCTGATGAGACAAAAGTAAATAAGTTCAAGAGTAGAGAGTAGGTATTGTTTAGTCTTACAGAGTTGTGATTATGATTGTTGCCATGTCTGTCTTTGTTGTCATTATCATAACAGGTAACATTTATTGAAGATTTACCAGATTTACTATAAGGAATACTATATAAATGTTCTATATTCATTTTTTTCATTTAAGTTTCCAAATTTGTTTTTCAAGAAATATTCATTGAACTCTTATGTGCCACATATGGTTCTTTGCTCAGGAGGCACAACAGTGAATGGAATAGACACAGCAGCTGCTCTCACAGAGCTATTATTCTCTTAGGGGAGATGGATAATACACAAATCTCTCTCTCTCTCTCTCTCTCTCTCTATATATATATATATATCAGTTATAATATATTAATATGATTATATATAGTATAGCGATGAGTACTGAGAAGAAAAATAAAGATGAGTCTGTAGACAATGAAAGAGAAAGAAAAAGTGATAAAGTGGGATTAGGTAGAAGTGCCAGTTCCTTGCTTTTTTAAACATTTTTATATATAAAGATGTGGGGTACAATTCAGTGTTAGGTACATAAACATTGATCATGCAGGTACCCTTGTTGATGAGGTATGCCCCTCCCTCCTGAAAGGGTAAGGAAAATAGAGTAAGAGTTGACAAGGGGTATGCTGTGTGCATGAGAGGAGGATGACCCTGGGTGTTCTTGGCTCAGGCAGCTTGGCTACCTGCCTAGGACAAGGAAAGTAAATCAGGTGTTTTCAGCAGAGCATTTGGTTTATCAGGAAACTAGACTCAGACCCTAGCCAAGTACGAGTTCATTAGTACTGAGATAATTAATTGACACCCACTCTGTCAGCAAGGGGGGCTCCTCTTTGTCTGAACATAGCATGGGAAAGAGCAGCAAGGGAGAGCCTGAGATTTAGATTCTTGATTGGGCAATGCTGTCTCCGGTGCTGTCCCCATCTAGGTGATGAGAATTTCCCCGAGATAGGATTGCAGGACGGTGGTAAAGTGTTTTCCCCTTTTCTTTCTTTTTTCTCCTTATTAATATATATTTCTATATCTAAATAAAGCTGTTTAATTTTCTTCTGCTGGCATGTGGTGGTGTTCTTTGCGAATTGAGCCCAGTTAATATTAGACCGTGCATGGCAATAACAGTAAGATTCCTTGCTTTATACCTCCTCTAGCAGTTTCCCTCAACTGCCAGTCCCATTCCCCCTCCCCTGACAGTTTCCCACTACTGCCAGTCACTTTTTTATAGCATTATAATTGTTCAAGATCAGCTTATGAGTGAGAACATATGGAACTCTGTTCTTTGTTTCTGTGATAAATCACTGAGTATGATTGACTCCAAATCCATGCAAGTTGCTGCAAAGTCCATATATTTGTCCTTCTTTATGGCTGCATAATATTCCATTGTGTATATGTACCACATTTTTTAAATCCAGTCCAGCTTCGATGGGCAATATGGTTGGTTCCACGTTTTTGCTATTGTGAATAGAGCTGCAACAAACATAAATGTGCAGGTATCTTTTTTGTAGAATAATTTGAGTTCCTCCGGGTATATTCCCAATAGGGGAATTGCTGGGTCATATGGAAGGTCAATTTCTAGTTCTTTCAGAAATTGCCATGCTGTCTTCCAAAGAGGTTGTACTAGTTTCCATTCCCACCAGAGTATAGAAGCATTCCTTTTTCTCCACAGCCTCACCAGCATCTGTTGTTGTTTGTTTTATTAATAATGGCCATTCTTACAGGGGTTAGGTGGTA